TGTGCTGAACTTGTCGTAACAGAACAATCGTTGTTTAGGTCATAGTCTACAGAGTTGAAGTGATAAACTATATATAATGCATGTTTACAAAACTGTCAATAGGACTATGACCATTGTTCTTGCCATGGCCTCAACTGTGTGTGACTCTGTGTCATGGTTATACTTGTGGATGCCGAGAACAAGTCGGGAGTAAACTCATTATTTTCACACTTTACAATAAATAATGTTCTGTTTGTCCTACAACTCGGCGTGTCATGGCTAATGTTACACTGTAACGGACGAGTGAATAATAAGCCCACTGAATATTGTCGTCCATTTCATTCCCATTAATATATCACGTGTCACAATTCAGTACTAAATGCAGTATTTTCAGGATGTCAATACGTTTTAGTATTTATCATTTCCCCTAGTTGTCGTTGTTCACGTCCTCATGGTGAAGAAGGTTTTGTTATGCCCCGTTACTGTTATAAATACCAACACGATTCACTTTTTTTTCAAATAAATAAATGGAAGATGATATTGTGGTATTTTGTTAATAACACCGATTGGGAAGGTCTTTACCCTCAGTCCACTTGACGAAGGTACATTACTCCCATAAAATTAATTCCAATATTGTCTCAAAACGAATATATTGGCCCTTGTTTGGGAAGTTGGTTGACTGGGGTCTGCCGTGTTATGTTATTCGCATTTTAATTGTTTGGTGCCGTACCCAGTTATTAGTATTTCGTGAAGGAAATTCTACTTTACTTCGTTTTCTGTTGGAAACGGCGTTCGGCAACGGGTGTCGTAACATGTCATTCATCCAAACAAATCTCAATGATGACTTTGAAGCTGGAACGATAAAAATATTACAGACACAAAGGACAATACAAGTTAAGTTGCATAGCATAGCAATAATAATGGATTCAAGCCCTATCTTCCGAAATCCCTATATTCCGAAATCCCTATGTTCCGAAATCTCTATGTTCCAAAATCCCTCTGTTCCGAAATACAATATAAATTGTTCCTGTATTGAGTGTTCCGGCACCCGAAACAGCGGGGAAGTATAGCGAACGTTGCAAATTTCTCGTGAATAAGCGCCATTTGGTGACCGCATTGCACGATTTGTTATCAAATTGGCATTAGAGGTCAGTGGGGATGAGCGCTACGGGGATTTCCGGATGGTCCCAGATGTATCACAGTGTGATATTCCCACGTACATTGACATTCACACAATACACCTATGTTTCGGATACGTTGTACATGTACTTCTATTTACACAGTTAAGCAATAGGCAATAGGCTCCCAACGAAAACTCTTCATACTTCATTGTAACTAAAAATTCCCGAAATAAAACTTTTTTTTTCATGTAGAAATTTTTCCAAACAAATTTATCGATTTTTCGTTAGCTGATTGAGAAATAGTAATAGAAAATCAAAGTTTTTTTTACTAGTTGACCTTGATACATAGATTTCCAGATTTTCTCCACAGCTGATACAGAAATCTCGAGATCTCGAGGATTCCACACACGAAAACGAGGATGCGATTCTAGAAAACAGTAAAAATTAGTGAGCCCGAACAATAAAAAAATAGGCGCAGCCGAACCAACTTGCTTGCCACCAAGTCTTCTAGGGTAAAATAAATTGTAACAAATGGAAAATTTTTGTTATTAACCATGCTTTGTATGTTAAGTTAATGTTAAGTTAGATTTCATGATAAATATCAGTTTTCATTCTTGTCCACTTTTTTTTGGCGCGCCATTGTAATCAAATCAGCACGGCTTAAACAATACTAATTGTATCCAACCGTTTTATCCTAACAAAACGCTTACTACGTATTATGTTTTATATGTATTTTTTTACTATTAAAGACCGATTTAAATACAGTCCTGGCCGCAATCATTTATTAATTACTGGACCACAATCTGAAACGGCTATTGTATTCTCAGATAAACATGCAACAGGGGTTTTGAGGGAGATTGGTATTGAGGAAGCGGCACTGGTTATATTTGAGGAATTATGAGGGATGCTGCGGAATCATGTCAAACTGTCGCTCTGTAAAAATAGGAGTGAAAGTATAAAACGCAGAACATAGTTAGCGGCAAACACCAGTTTCGTCCGCTTGCGCTTTCAGGTTACATCATCATCAATTGCCGAACCGTCTACTTACTTGGAAATTGTGGTCAAGAAGACAGTTCTCCACACCTCTTTGATTTTTTCAGCATACGAAATGAACATGTAAAACCAGCAGAATCATAGTTAATATAACATCAAATTTTT